ATTAATCAGTAATCTCAGTGTAGTTGCAAAAAATGAATGAATCATGTTGTTGACTTCACCAGAGAATCTCAACGCTGATTGGTCATCGCGGTGCGTCAGATCGCAAAAGTTCAGATTTTTCAACTTTCTCTCCAGACGCGCCTCAAACGCGCGTCAAACTCGCTCAATTCGCGTCTATCGCACCGCGCTAATCGTGCGAGTCGCGCCGCGGGACGTTTACTCGCGTCTTCACATTGACTTTACATGTAAATCATTCGCGCGAATGATTTTACTCGCGTCGATTTTACTCACGTCGGAGCCTCGATGATGACATGGCCTGTTCCAAGTTTGCCGGCAAAAGAAAAGTGGATAGCGAATATCGCCAATTCAAAGATGAATGGACCGAGCAATATGCATTCATTCTCCCTCCAACCAGCACAAGACCAATGTGTCTCATATGCCAAGAGACCGTAGCTCTGATAAAGATGTCAAATATAAAACGCCATTATGAGGCCAAGCACCAAAGATTTGAGGAGAGCTTTCCTCAAAATTCAGACCAAAGAAAACTAAAAATTAATGGACTGAAATCATCTTATAAAACAACCAGCAAGATTCTGGTAAGATCCATGACCCAACAACAAGTAGCAACAGAGTGTTCACTTGGAGTTGCATGGGTGTTGGGTAAGCATAAGAAGCCATTCTCTGATGTAGAAATAATTAAAGAGTGCATGATTGAAGTGATGGATACCCTGTTTGATGGAAAGTGACCCCGTGACACTTATGTCTCCTTAGACCAGTAATACATTTTTTCCTCCTTTTCTTATGGTTATTTATCTTCTGGTCCCCACTATTTTATATGTCGAAATAGAAATGGCATTTTATTTCAGTTTTTGGGGGGGAAAAATGAGAGTATTATGATTTGTGTCTTGGCTGACGACAATAAACGGACCTTTGACTCTTTGAAAACAGTTCTTGTGAACCTTTCGGATTTGTATTTGAGGACCACTGGTCTATGGTCTCATACAGGAAAAATTCATTGGGGTTATTAATATTAATAAATTTTCTCAGACCTGTGGCTCATTGGATATGGAAAGCAGGAAAGTTACCCCTGAGCTATTGTGCAGTCCAGATTTATTCACCTAAAATATGAAATGTTTTGTGTCTAAAATAAATTCTAATCCATAGTTACATTCAAGAAATCACATTAAACATAATACCAATACTTTTGATTACCAGACTCAATGCAATCATTTATTTAAAATAAACAGAGAGAAATCAGTGGCGGTGTGATGATAGAGAGGATGAAATCAGTTGCACCTCAAACTAAATGCTTGAAAGAATAGTTTGGTTTCTTTATAGTGAGGATCTGTAATATATTTATCCATAGGTATATTTCCTACAGTAACAGTTGGCACACCAAGTTAGAGAAACAGACACAGCATCTAAGCAATGTACTGCTGTGGGGAGGGGGATCAGCAACAAAATGTATTTTAGCCACCTAAAAAATCAAGATCAGTTTCAGTGTTCACCTTTAAATGTTTAATGTAGAATATTTATAGTGCCTTACTATGCCATCAAACAGCCCTTTCTGACTCTCTGAGACTCCATAACAGCAATTTTCCCTCTTAGAAAACTGCAGTTACTAGACTGTTATTGTGTTTTAATATGTTATTGTGAAGTCACACAATAGCACAAACAACTGAATCAAGACCAAAAACTTTTATTTTCTGATAGGAAAATATATGGGTTTTGTCAGTAGAGATTGATGGCTTTGAAGAAAACATAGCTTGATATGCTTCAGTTCCCTGCTGGAAAGGGCTGTCTGATGGCAACATAAAGAAGTAACAAAGCTCTAAACACAGCGCACTCTCAAACTGATATCAACATTTTTAACTGGGCCCAAAATCCAGTTTGTTGCTGACCACACCCACAACTATGCTTCGCTTATGTGCTGGTCCTCCTGTTGGCTTCTCCAAACTGGAAATGTACAGACTGTGATCTACTATAGGTAATACAGTGATTATAGATAAAAACCTCGTACAAACCCACTTCAAAGAAACCAAACTATCCCTTTAAAGGTAATTCATATGAGGTGGACAGTGATTTAGCTTATAGTACTAGAGAAGCTAAATTCAGCTCAATAGGAATTTAATGAAATGTCCAATTTTTTTTAATTCTTAGATTTTATTCCCGATCAGTACATCTGAATCTTTACATCTTTCAACAATTTCCCTGAGGTTTCCACCAAAGGGATCAATAAAGTTCTATTCTATTCTATTCTATTCTTCTATTCTGACAACATTGTGTGTGTGTGTGGTGTGTGGTGTGTGTGTGTGTGTGTGTGTATGTGTGTGTTTGTGAAAGCGAGAGAGTGAGAGACAGAGCGAGTTGCCTGCCTGCTCTGTGTGTGCCCTAATACCAGATAATGTCTCTTTCATTGAGGGGATAAACTGACTACAAAGCCACCTCAATGGAAACTTAATGAATCTATTAGCAATGCTTGGCTCTGCTGCCCTCCCCGTCTTCAACCCTGAGGGAGCGCAGACATTCGGCCAGTCTGGAAAGCCAGAAGCCTTAAGTAGTACAGCTTCTTCTCTACAAAGACCTAGCTCTTCATTCTCAGTGGGACGACTGAGAGAGGAGTCAGGAGGTCCAAAAGGACTATGACCCCAATGACCCCCCTCCCTGTACCTGCTGGTTCACTCCAGGGTCACCATAAACATGTAGAGCAGTGGTATAAGAAAGCAGGAAAGGAATTTTATAACATTAAAGCTGCACATGCAATGTTCATGGCAGAAAAATGCAAATTAAATTATTTTTAGCTTTTCTTTAACCCTTTCTTACTGGTTACTTGTTTTTTCAATTATATTTCAGGACATTTTGAAACCGTACTATTATTGTTGCATTATGATGTGGGTTCTACCAGCAGAAATCACTGTTGTGACAGAATAGTTAGACAGCGGTAAGAAACTGAAGACCAGCCAAGTCCTTCATCAGTAAGTTCAGTTTTTTAAATTCTTGACTGGATCTGATTCTATGCCATTGGCTATAATGGTGCATTTCACATCCATCTCAGAATATCCTCCCAAGATCAGAACAAAGTGGTGGCATATGAGCTTGAAAAACTGAAAGCACAACTACAGAAGATTCAAAGCTCAAATGGACAGGTTGGCATTGTCAGTCTAAGTCAATACAATATTTAAATGCCCATAAAACAGAACAAAAAGTTATTGGTTGCTTTAATTGGCTCTTCTATCTACACTGCACATGACAACATCCTTTCGCACAATTCAAACATAAAAGACCATGGACAAAATCCACAGGGCCCTCCAAAGTTCAGCCAATGCTAATATGAGGCTTCAGCGGTCTGATTTAGAAAGATCAAGTGGCTGTCTTGTTGTGGTCTTTTTGGTGAGAGAAGTTAGTGTGTTTCCTTGCTCAGCTGTGGGATAATATCACAAACAAGGAATTTTATATGACTTTTGGGCACACCAAAACTGCTGAAACCACACATCAGCTTTAGCTGAACTTTAAAATACATCAAGGCCTTTGCACAGAACAAGGTCTGTGTGTTTTTAGTCCACATCCTTCAGATTAGAATCACATTTGGAATAACAGACTTGAAAAAAAAAAGAAATGATCCTTAAAGGAGCCCAGTACCAGTCGTGTCCCCCCCCCCCCATAATTTCTATGAATATCACAATAGTATTAGTACTGTCATTTCTTTTGACCGCGATAGTCAAGGAGAGAAAATTTGATATGGTGACGGTGCTAGTCTATCCCATGGAAGCATATACTGTCTGCTGTATATTTTTATGCACATTTTTTGTAGTGTTTTGTTTCATCCTGATGTAAAAAACAATTGCCCTGAGTTAGCATTAAAGATTCATTTTATTTTACTGCATTAACCCTCCAGTTTGCCTTAAGAATTTTGCACAGTTCAGTTGCAAGTAATGTAACAATAATGTAGAATGTAATGTAGAATATAACCCAGAGATGAAAAAGTAAGAAGATTTTCTTCTACAAAAGAAAAACTTTTTTTTTTAAATCAGGTATGATCACTTAAGGCCATAGAAACATCTTCTTGCTTTACAAGTAGATGCTTGTATTGAGGAAAATGTTGTTTTTTGCTAAGCTACATCAGCAAATAAACTGTATGTGTCAAAGCGAGCCATTTTTTTGGGAACATAGTATTCAGCCTCCACCCTACACCTTATAAAATTAGAAATGCTGTGAAAGAACACACCCCATAGTTTTCCACCTTACAGTCGCCAGCAGACTGGCGTGTGGCAGTCTTCTCACCTCCCCTGAACCTAAGTCTGCCATAAGGTCAGCCCAGGGGTTAAATGACTGTGTTGGCTCTTGCAAAGCCTTCAAAATGGCTCATTGTCCAGAGGCCAGGGGAGTAGAGGGCACACTGTGAGGGGTGAAGCAAGGGGAGCGCCACGCTATCCCCCAAGCCATAGGAGTCCTCATTTTGACCCGTTCAAGTAGCCGCCACCACGTTTCATCTTTTGTGCTGTGTAATTAGGAAGGGTCAGGAAGATAAGCAGAAAGTTGACCACTGTTTTAAGTGCTGGTGGTCCAACTTGCAAAGGAGCATCAATGTGTGTGGAGGCCAGTGACACTGAAGGACTTGTGAAAATAGGTGGACGTTGTCTTAGGGCCCGCTACGCCCTACGTATCAGACATAACATGAGGATAGCTAACATTCCTCACTGCTTGATGCCTGCAAGTCTGACAGGCTGAACAGCACAAGAAACAACCTTTATAATATAGCCTCTTGCAAACAGGTTTGCAGCCATTTATATTGTCTTATTCAGTTTAATTTTATTCTGGTTTATCATGTGAAAACTGTGTTTCTTTCCAAGGGTGTAGCTTCCAAGTCTGAGGTAACATGAGGCAGTAATTTTGGGGATAGACACTTAACCAACCACACTCTCTGACCACTTGTAAGACCTGCACTCATCCACGCTACACACAGGGCACACTCACAGTACATCTTCCCATTTGTCTCTTACCTGAGCTCCCTGCTGTGACACTGCTGTAAATCATGTGTCTGCTGAAGCTGAGCCTGACAGAAAGTCAGGAAGGAGTCTGAGGCCAAGCTGACCTGCTGAACAGCAGGGGGCGGGAGAAAGGAGTCTGTCTGCTGACTGTCAATGGCCCTCAGGCCAGGCACTGCTCTCTGCAGTGTGGATCTGAAAAGGAGAGCACACTGGATATATATCAGGCACATATTTGTGTTTTTGTATCAACAAAAACTCTGCAAAGCCAAGTGAATCTAATTTTTCGTATTTATTTAAAAAAAAAAAAAAAAAAAAAAACTCTGCAAAGCCAAGTGAATCTAATTTTTCGTATTTATTTATTTATTTTTTAAAATGTGTCCAACTAACTCATAAGATCAATGGTAGAAATTATAAAAATGGTAAGGTTAAAACTATGACATCAGCTTTCATACTGGCATAAACAGAGTGCATCACTGCTGGTATTCATTTAGCAAAAAGAGAACCAAGCACTTTTTGTCTTTAAATTAATCACCCACTAATACATTTTCAGCTAGCACATTGTACATAACAGTACAGCATCTTAAAAGCGCTCTTCACAGAGTATACAAACAACTTGGTGAAGCCTACAGTTTGTTTTTGTTTTTGTTTTTTAAACTGTGTTTTCACAGATAATGAAGGCCTTTGGGAGCAACATAAACAGAACTCAAAAAAAGGGGTTGAAATTTCAGCTGAAATGTTCACAATGAGCCTTAGGCAGAATGCTGTCAGGGCTATGGAACAGGATTGAAGCTTTGATCACAGGGACTCAGCATGATAGGACTTTCAGTTTTTTTGTCAATAGACCTCACATATCAAAAAACAGGTTCAGACTCAGAGGAACAGATGTACTATGTATTTGTTCCCAGTCTATATTTCACACCAATCATTTAATAACTGATACTGATCAGTGAGCCAACTTGTCATCAGTGTATTACTGAATACCCATATTTAGAGCAGTATAACTCAGTGGGTAGAAAGTTGCTCTGATGTTGAAGTGTTAGAGCAGCCATTCTCTGTTTAATTTAACATGCTCTCAGAAAACTGTTTTATGAGGTCACTAAGGCTACATTCGGTTTTGTGCACTGTACATTTTGTACATTTTGTCTGACTGATTATTGTATTTACAGTGATTTAGAAATCCCCTGTTATAAACGACTCTGTGATCTGGCTTTAAAATCTAAATATATTTTGAAAAAGTTACTAAATCTGTCAACTTTATATTGTTTTCTATAAGTTTAGTTACAGAGCTACTTTGGATAAAACCCCTTACCAAATGACATATGTTAGGTAGTATCAGCGTTCAACTTTAGGGGAGCCTTGAATGGCTGTGAGTCTGGGGGAGAGGTAACTGCTGCCTGAGGCTAAGGATGTACAAGCAGAAGAATCTCAACTATCCGCCAGAGAAACAGACTCAGAGCATCTACCAGTGCAACACTGGCCAAATGTGGTCTGTGTTCAGTGGGAAAATGTGGAGCTGGAAACTCTACAGGACACCAGGGAATGGCAACAATAAAATCCGTAAAAATACAAGCCTTCAGGCTGCAAAAAGTAACTTTTTTTTAAAACATTAAGAACGTTTTCTAAATTGATTCCCAGTGTACCATATGCTCTTAAATCTTGCCTCCCACGTCACGGGAGGAGGATAAAACATGTGTTGGGGTCAAACTCTTCATTTGAGATGGATTAATAAAAGATGCATATGGGAATATTTGAGTAGGTCCTTCTTTAGACCACTAATCTATTTACAGATTTTTTGTTTTATGGCTTCTTGATATTTTCTGTTGGTAACATATAAATATCAACGCATGGGTTTAAGAATCTTGCCAGAGAAAATAATTTACATAAGTATAGACGGTTGTCCTTATTAAAGGGAAGATGTTTTATTAGCCTATAGCTATAAGGACTTCTTTTCTCTGTAAATTTTGATCGATGGCTTAAGATAAACCTTATTTTACACTAATGACTGATTCAAAAGTATATAAATGGTTCATATTATGCACAGAGAGCAACAGAGTTTCCACAACTTCTGTGTCACCCTGAGACAAAGACAGGGCTACAGAGGATGGGATCTGTGTACTGTCAGAGGGATACGGTTTTGATGTGGCCCACTGGGTCTCTTCAACACAGATCGGGATTAGATTCCAACCCTTTGGGCATGTTGTGTGGCTGGCTGTCTTCAAATGAAGTACCAAACCCAAATAGGACCTTTTGGTTGTTACATGAGCTCACTGAGGTGGGGAGGGTAATTTAATTCAAAAAATGTCAGCACTTAGACACACTTGTGAGAACAGAGAGTAGACCAATGTACAAAATAATTAGATGCTGTGAACTGATCATTAAAATTTCTGAGAATTAGATCATCTCTGCAATAGGCTTAGGAGTTTTGATCTTTGTATAGCATAAATACTTCTGCTGAAGTATCATGAATTTGTCAAGACTGGCTAAATGTCACCTAGTAACTGAAAGTAATTTTTCCAAATAAGGGCTGGACTTCACAATTAAGGTGCTATGAATCTTTTTCAGCAATGTCCACACTGAATTTCCTTGGACTTGAACTTGTATCTCTCCCAAATTGTCAAAAATTTCATCCTCCTTTATGAGGGAAACACTGTTTTTGGCTCACATTCCTTCAACCTCTTTCTTCAGCCCATATGAGCACAAGTCCGTATTTCATTTAGTGAAGACTTCCTCCAAAACACAGGCCCTTAAAATGGCCCTGATTAATCAGACCCAGTGTTTTCTTCGTCTACGTCTCCTGGATCAGGGGCTGCCTACAGGGAGTGTAATTCCTAGCGTTTGCCTTTTGGTGCTTTAATTTAGCAGATGTTATCACTGGCTCGGGATGAAAGGGCCAGGGCATGAGTGTGGAAATACTGAGGGTTAATTCCACTGTTGGCACAGGAGGTTAAGTAAAGTTCAATGAAATATTAAGGTAATGTTACAGTTAAAGCTTAAGACAGAAAAGGTGTCCACAAGTAACCAATGTTTATAGGGTTATTCTGGACAGAGAAAGTCTACTGAAAAGGTAATTCTACAATCAAAAGCTAAGATTTTATGTTTGCGTTGTCAGAATCAATAAACCCAGTAGGGATTAGCATGTAAGACACAAAAGTTTGACGCGCACAATTTACACTAGACTTTTCTGTTATACCTTAAAGGTAAACTTTTTAACTATAGTCCAAGAGTCCAAATACAAAACTCTGAATGTCAGATAAGTGAGAATTTTCTGAAACTGAAACACTGAGGGCTTTTTGGAGGGGCGAGTATAACTTTTCATATTTTGGATATTTGGCTGTTACTAAATGGGTGTGAGTAGCTCTGAGGAGCCAAATAACTTTGCAAACCTGTAACAGCTGACATCACTGCTCATGACAGCCCAATAGAAGCACAAGGAATATGAGTGGTCATCACATATTTTTCATATAAACTCACTGCAACTGCCTTAACATTGGTACAATATTTAGGCACTGTAAGTGAATGAGCAAATTGACAATGAAATAATTTATTTTTCTGCTGTATCAATATTGTGGGAATTATAAGCACTTAGTGCGGCGTACATACACACAGATGTCTGTCGAACCTCATGGTAATCTAATAGGCAACGCGGATCACAGTGGTAATCCTGGGAAGTGGACAGGGAGGCTTGTGTTCGGCTGGAATGTTTAGACTACCTGAGCCAATAGACCGAATTTGTGACAGAAAAATAGTGGCTTTTCACTGGTATGTTCCTTTGAACATCCATCACAGTGACTGATATTTCAGAGCAAAGGAAGCTGAAACTGAAACTTAGGTCCCAACAATTTACAAAAAGACCTACGGAAATTTCTAATTACTCTATCTTGATTTGAAACTGTGTAGCAGGTACTGCAGAGGAGAATGTGCACAAATAGGAGGTGAACAACCATCCAGAAAATTCCTTAGGTGAATTTAAATGAGCGTAATGAAACAGCATTGCCATTTATGTCCTAAAAGCAAATGCATACAGATTATATAAGAACATATCAAGTCCCTAAAAAACAGCAGCCCATGTCATACCCTTCACCCAGCCCTCATCCTACCTCCAGCCACTCTCCTGTTGAAGAGGATTCCCTGTGAGGTGGACTTCTTGCAGGAACTGACATCTCTCCAGATTCTCACATATGTTACGTAGCTCTGAGAGGCAAACAGAAAAACAACTTTGTCACGTAAATATCTATTCCTCAGTCTATTCCTCAGTCTAACAAGCATCTCATCTGGTCATGTGGGCTCTAAATCAACTGGGTGAAAAAAACAGAGATGTGCTTCTGAGAGATGTGAATTTATGGATCTAATTTAAGTGAAGCGACACACTATGTTTAAACAGCCTGCATCCCACCTAAATGAATGCAGCACCAACATATGAAATATATAGAACCAAATGCCGATGCCAAATGGTTTGGTGCATGTAAATTGATGCCTGTTGTAACCTCTTTTGTTATTTTAATTGTAACTGCTATTTTGTTGTTGTTAAGTTAAATCTATCTGTAGCTTTATGGGAGAAAAAAGAAGGCTTGTGAGCATTGAGAAGGAATGTGATGTCAGAGTTTGTAACATGCAAGTACTGTGGTTGTAATAACTGTCCCTCTATTATTATTATTGTTATTATCATCAGTATCATTATTTGCTTTTAGTTATTTATTAGCAGATTTATTTATTGAATACGATTCTAACCTTTTATCATATTTTAATATTTTATCATTATTATCAACAGCTCACTTTTCATGCTTAGTTGCTGCTGTCGTTGTTGTTGATGTCACTGTCGTTGCTGTTTCCTTTGTTGTCTTTTATCTACTATATGTTACGTGTTATGTGTACCTGTGAGCTGAGCTTGAGATACCCGAATTTCCCCTAGGGGATGAATAAAGCAACTATTTTTTAAAAAATTACAAAAAAAAAACTATCTTCACTTTTACCGCGCTTCTCAAAACTTAAAATACTTCACACAAGGCAACAAACTAAAATCAGTAAAAGTGTAAAATGTAAAATCATTAGATCAAGACAAACAGGTAAAAAGAAGATGAAACAAAACTTGTATAATTTGAACAAACTACATGCATAGCAGAAGTCAGAATGACTTTATGGTTAAGGGAAGTGGATGAATAGTCCAGTTAAGCACGGCAGCATGTTACCTGATAGACAGTTGAAACTTAGACGAAGATTTTCAAGGGACAAAAAATCAGACATGGAGGGCAGCTGCGTAATTCTAGAAACAAAGAGACAAATGAAAAGCCTGTTAAAGCTATCTTTCGTATCATCGTTAAATACTGAAACATTATGAACAATGTGACTAGTTTAAAAGTTGTCGAAGTTGCCTGAGTCATCTAAAAATAGGATGAGACAGATGTTAAGTAGGACTGGAGGGATATTGTGTACCTGTTTTGGGCCACAGAGAGGTGTTGCAGGAGGGGAAGCCAGCAGGCAGTGAGATCTTGCAGGGAGGATATGCTGTTGTCATCCAGATGCAGCGCTCTGAGGAGGACCTGGTTGTTCAGGCTGGGGGGCTGAAGGAGAAACAGGGTGAAGTTGTCAGTTAACACTGGTCACACTGTGAGGTTAGACTAACTTTACACTGCTGCTGCTGCTGGTCCAGCAGCACAAACTGACGCTGTCCATCAATGTCGGTTGTTTTAGCCCTGCTAGGGTTACTGCCATCAGTGTGGACCACAAGGGAAGCTCAGAAGTAATCATTTGGAAACCCTGAGCATATAGAGACCATCTTACTGAATACTTTTCCTCAAGTGTATTTACTTACTGAGTACTTTTCCTCAACGTGCTTTGCACGTTTTGTTTTGGGATTTTTTTTTTTTTTTCAATTACACAGGAGTTAATCTATACAAGAAATATAAAGCATCTGGACACTCTCTCTATAACTACTGCTGATTGAGTATTCTCTTGGAAGACATTTTGACTTCACAAACACAGGCAAAACTAGTAACAGTAACTGCTGCCTTTCATTTGTCGCTCCAATTGTGCATCTTGGTTTTGTTTAATTGAAGCCAAATGCAAGAATGCTTGTCCCGCTCGTCATTTCTTTTCTGACTTTTTATTTGGTTTTGGTTTGTTCATTGTCCAAATTTGCACTGTGGACAGACTGTACTATCACCACATTGTACAATAACACACTACACATCAACTTTTTCACACTACATTATCTAATGATCCCAAAGGGCTATTCTATTGATCTAAATATATATTTGACATTCCTTCACTTAATCCACCCATTTAGGCCTCTTATCCAGTGAAGGGTAGTTGTTAAAATCACGCTGAAAGAAAGATTTTCAACAGTTCAGTTTTGTTTTCGTATTAATAAATTCCCACTGGTGAGGTGGTTTCTGAGGCCATGATCTCAAGTTTTAAAATTATATTTGGATAAATTTGAAGCAAAAGTATCAGACCACCACACACCAGCCTGTGGTTTCATCAGGAGAATCTCTTCATTCATAATCTGTTCAAACTGGTAATGAGAGCCAAGACACTGGCATTGTTGACTGAAATGCAGCATCTCATAGGCAACTGTAACACTTTATTTTTAAGATTTAAAATCTATTTGGTACAACCTGATAGCTGAGTGGTTCAGGTGCATAGCACATAGGTATAGATACCTAGAAGTAGTGGGACCCTGATTTGATTCTTGGCCACCCTGACATTTACTGCATGTTGTTCCCCTGCTCTCTTTCCCACATTTCTTGTCTCTTTCCACTGAATATTTCTAATGAGGATGTAAATGTGAAAATACAATCAAATAAAATAAGCATCTAATTGTATGAGGGAAATCAAAGATGAAAGTAGAGTGATATGAGCTTAATTCAGTTGCATTACAAGTCCTTCAGCTGGCAGCTAAACCTGTCAACAGGTCTCACAAAGTTGTAACACTGAACAGTGACATCAGATCCAGCATTTTTAGTCCTCAGTTGTTGCCTTTTTACCTCAGTAAGACTGTTGCCTCTCAGATCCAGCGTGTGGAGCAGAGCGTTGTTTTCCAGACCTTCCACATTTGCCAGATGATTGTGTGAGCAGTCCAGGTGGAGGAGTGTATATACATCCTTCAGCCCTTTGGTGCTGATCAGCTGGTTATGGTCCAATGACAACCTTTGCAGTCTCCTCACAGACTCCAGACCAGCTAGGGATGATATGAAAATGAGATGCCACTTATTCAGACTGCAAAACTGTTCCTCTGCATATATGCAAAAAAATAAAACACAAGTGAAATGATACAGTCCACGATAACACAGTCTGTATGTATCATATTAGGGCCATGCTTCAGTTTTCATTGTAAAGTGCATGAAGTCCACAGCTGAAAGGCAGAGAGATGCTGCCCTCTAGTGGAGTATTGCAGACTTGACACAGGGGTTCAGGTGTGTCAAGCTTCAAGTTGCTACATATACATTGGAAGGAAAATAACTAATCAAACTTCAGTTGGAGACCTTGTTTTTGATACAACCAAACATTATGACAACAGTTGTTCAGATTTAACTAGTATACTTTTTGGACAAACAGAGTTAATGTCAGAGTTTCCTAAGGTACAGTTTAATGATTTTTTTTTTGTTGTTCTCACCAATGCGGGTGATGGAGTTGTGAGAAAGGTCAAGAAAGTCCAAACTGTCAGCACCACTTAAACCATGGATGGACGTTAGCTTGTTGTGAGCAAGTCGAAGAACTCTTAAGCTGGTCATATTTTTGCAATCCACAAATGAGATGTCATTTTCCTGAAACAAAACAAATGTAAAACTGTAGGACACAATTGAGCAGTTAGAAACAGATAAAACTTTGATTCTCTATTCACCTCTAGATCAATGTAGCAGAGCTCTTGTAACTGGCTGATGCCTTCCAAGGATTTCAGGCCACAGCGTCGGAGAGTGAGGGATCGAAGCTGATTGCAATGGACAAGAGTGGACAAGCTACATCCTGGTAAGTCCTCCAAGGTCACCATGGTTACCTGAAAGAGAGGCTAAGATGTTTTTAAGGCTTGCTTGAAGGTTTGTCTGGATTTTGAGAGATTAAATAAGCATGTTTGACATTTACGGTTATACTAATGATTTGATTTTCCTTACAAATAGACTATGTAATACATTTGTTTCTTTAACATTGTATGTTTTACTGCCAAGTAATGTATTGTGCAACGTATCTAATGACGCTGGTGGGTGTCATTGAGGTCTCAAAGGGAAATATTGACATGTGAATGTTTTTACCTTGATTAAGACACAACTGACCCAAAATATTAAGTATGAAATATGATGATTTTTGTGTGTGTATCTGCGGCTTAGCCTTTTTTACCTCCTGCAGTGATTTCCAGCCTGTGGACTGAAGCAGAGTGTGTGGGCAGAGAGGAGGCAGACTGCTGGCCTCAGGTGCCCTCCTCAGCCCTCTGTGACTCCAGGCAGATCCTTTCGGCTTCCTCCTGGTCTGGAGGCACAGTTTGGACCACGAGACACAGTCCTTCATCCACAACAGCCTCTTCTGCTCTGTGTGCTCTGGTAATGAGCAGGAAGAAGCGCAAGACCTCACTGCTGGATCTTGTTGATCTGTAGTTTTACATATGGAGGTCTGACTGATGTTCTTCTCTGCGTCTTGCTGTTGTGCCGTTACAGAGATGTTGGGCCCTGCTGTGGACTCCCTGGGTAAAGGAGCTGAGCTTGAGAAGGTCAATGCAGTGCTGACTCCCAGCTGTGAAGGCAGGGAGTGCCCAGTGCTACCTGTATTCTCATTTTGAGATCTTGTGCTTTCCCTCTCTTGTTTCAGTATCCTTTCTTCTGTCTTTATGTTTTCCTCTATGCCTTCTCTCGCCTCTTTTCTATTATATGTCTTGTCTGTCTGTGTATTTCTTGTTCCCATATCATCCTTCTCTTTGTATTTCTTCACCTCTTCCTGCCTCCTCTCTTTATTCTTTGTTTCTGTTTTGTGCTCCCTTTTCCTGTTGTCTGCTTCACATCCTTTATATCCCTCCATTTTTTGCTTTGATCTTATTTCTTTGTTTATGTTTATGTACTCTTCATCTTCCTTCTGTCTCCTCATTTCTTCATTATGCCCTTCAGTCAGCTCCTCCTCTTTAGTTTTCTTCTCCTCTTCACTTCTTGCCATATCTTTATTTTCCAAACTATGTCTCATCTCATCCTTCTTGTTTCTCTTATGTTCATTTCCCTTGAGTTTAATTTCTATTTTTCTACTTCCCCCTTCCCTTCTTCTTATCTGTCCATCCATAACTTTCTTTGGGACCTCTGACTTTTGTCTTTCCTCGTCACTTTCTCTTTCCATCTCATTTTTTTCCATCTCCTCCTGCTTCATCATCATCTCAAGCTCCTTAGTTACTCTCTGTCCTTCCTTTCTTCTCTCCTCTTCATCCTCCCTCTTTTTCCTCTCCTCATCTTCCATCTTTCTCTGATCATCCTTACACGGTATTTCTTTTTTTCCCTTTTCATCTTCTGTTAGTGTCCTTCCAGTCATCTTCATCATATTCTTCGTATCTCCCCTTTTCATTGTTTTATCCTCCTCTTGCTTCTTATTTTTATCCCTCTCTTTCAGTTTCTCCTCCCCCCTTTTTCTTTCCTCTTCTTCTACCAGTCTTCTTTTCTCCTCTTCTTTTAATCGTATTTCTTTTATTTTTCTTTCTTCCTCCATCTTCCTCATCTCTTCTTCTATCTTGTTTTTTTCCTCTTCACTTTTCCGCCTTTCCTCTTCCTCCCTCTTTTTCCTCTGTTCATCTTCCTTCTTTCTCCTGCCTTCTTCTTCCTCCTTTTTCCTCTCTAAGTTTTTTCTCTTTTCCTCTTTCTCCATTCTCTTCCTTTCTTCCAGCCTTTTTCTAATGTCCTCCTCTTCCATCTTTCTCTTTTCTTCTTGCTCTTTCATTTTCCTTTTTTCCTCCTCCCTTTTCCTCTTCTCTTCTATTTCTTTCATTTTCCTTTCCCCCTCTTCTTTTTTTCTCTTCTGCTCCTCTTCAATCTTCCTCCTCTCTTGGTCCACTTGTTTTTGTAAGTTATTTAGCAGTTCCTAATTGGTAAAGATAGTTACCAGAGTTACAACAAAGGTCTTATTTTTTGATTATTGTGTGCTTTTTTGTGTGTGTGCGCTATTGTCGTTATTGTTTTAACTGTTTTAATTGTTTGTTTTATGTTTTATACATATTTATTCTTGATACACAGCACTTTGTGTCAGCAGTGGTTGTTTTTAAATTGCTTTATAAATAAAGTTGAGTTCAGTTGAGTTGAGTTAAACAATATTAAACAAACCACCTGGAAATTACAATTAATCCCATCCACCTAAAGTGTAATAAGAACTATAACCACTTCATGTAATCCTCAGTAATCCTCTGATTTTTTTTTAAGTCAAATATCCCCAAAAACACACTGTCTTCCATATGCTTACACTGTGCTGATTCCAAATAGGTAAATAATAAACTGCAAAAACTTTACTCATCAATAAGAGTGTCTTTTCACAGCGGGAGCCTCTGCAGCTGAAATACCTGCTGAAGTAGCAGCTCCTCGTCAAGCTTTTCCTGAGCTCTTCTCTCCATCACCTCAAGTTCCATCTGATGGAGCTGGACACAAAAGGTGATAATTAAGTTAAAACACAATAATGGTATACAATAACCACCCATTCATTCAGTAAACATTCTTCATTCTGGAGAGGTTTGTGTGGAGTTGGAGTTTAACCAAGCTGACATTCGGCGAGAGGCGGAGTACACCCTGGACCAGTCACCAGTCTACCACATATTCAACACAAACAAAGAAATAGCCATTTACAGTCACACTCACACCTAAGGCCAATTTACATTCACCAATTAACCTACGCATGTCTTTGGACTGTGTGAGGAAACAACAGCACCCGCAGAAAACCATGTAGAAACAAAGAGAACATGCAAACCAGCAGGTTGGAACCTAGAACCTTTCTGCTGTGAGGTGACCGAGAATCTTTGGTACATTTTATGACTTCTTTACTTTTTAAAACAGATGGTGTTTTGTGTTCTGAATTTTCTCAGTGATATTTTGTTCTCTGTGCTTTTGTCTCAGTGAATGATAAGGTGATACATTTTATAGTTGTCTGTGTTGACATTTTGGAGGATGCATTTGTTATTTTTTTTCCCAAAACAGAATGGTGCTTCTGTATCAGACTTTATTTCTATAGCACTTTTCATGCAAACAGAAATGCAACACAAAGTGCTTTACAGAAAATAAAAATACAATAAAACAATACACACAACTTTTGAGTCTCCTTGAATTGCTGAAAAAAAACAATTATAAAGGGCATCATTTGGCCTGGGGTCATCAGTAGACATGTCGATGTACAGTTGTGTGTCATCAGCATAACTATTGAAACTAAAGCCATGTCTCCTAATTTCCATTTCCAAGGGATAACATGTATAGATTAAAAAGTGTCGGACCTAAAATTGAACCCTTAATTTTATAGTTATTAGATGAGGAATATTCTGTACTTACTAAAAACTCTCTTGACTTGAATTATCAATAAAAGCAAAGTTTTGTGAGGAGCATGCCAAATGGCAGTCAGGTGTGGAGGCTGAGCAGTCTGCTACAACATACAATGCCACGAAACATGGATGGGATGTGCCCAGAGATAAAAACAGATTTGTTGCAGTCCTTGAGTAGTTTAAAAAGACTGTTAAAATCACTTTTTAAAACCTCAGACTGTTGATTGGTAGATCATGGTGCCAATGTAGACAATTACTTTGGTGGCTTGTAGGTGTCTACTGAGGAGAGATAGGATCTGATGGAGTAGGTCCAGAACTTTGGTTAAACAATATGTTGCTGCTGCTTGTGATGTAATGTGTCTTACTATGGAGTCGCTGATAATGAGTGAAGCCAGAGGAGGCTGGCTGGAGGTTGAAGCCAGAGTCAGAGGGATGTGTGCAGTCAAGGGGTGAAGTGTAGGTAGCCAGGTCGGAGAGAGGATGTATGCTGTTGGGAGTGGTGATTAACCGGAGAGATGGAGGTGCTAGACACTGCCGTGGAGAGGAGGAGGCCAAGGACAATCAGGCTCCTGGGTCGATGGTGGTATGCAGTGACCAGCAAGCGGGAGGAAGTCCCGCTCGTCCACGATGGAAAACTTGTTGGCCATCTGCAGGCTGTGATGAGCCTGGGGACGGCAGAGGAACTTCACCTTGGTTGTCCTTACCTGCAGCAGTCCATGACTCCTTAAGGCTTGGAGTGGAGCTATCCGGAGCCTTGGCCTTCGCACCAGTGGCCAGGACATCAGTGACATCAGTGACGTCCAGGAATGTCAAGTCCAGCTGTCCAGCAGCTCAGGTGGCCCCAAACATAGCCAGAGAGTCAAGGATCAGTTCTATAGATTTGGTAAAGTGTGGAGTATTCACCCCTCCAACTTGACAATTTTCTGGCTCAGGCGAAGCAGCTGTCACACCTCACAGAGGTGAGTGGAGGCATGACTGGTGGGATCCGGTGGTGGTTGAGGAGAACACCTGTGTCCAGTACAGATGTTGTGAAAAATTGAAAATACAGTCCTTGGGGTAAAACCCGTTTTAGGTGTTTGTGGTAAAAAAAATAAAAAAAAAAATAAAAATAATGTCGATCTGCCAGCTCCGTTAGTTGGCCAAGCTAAAAACACGCCGGTTACGCCAGCATGTTACGCAGTTGACTCTCAGCAGGGGACACACTCTGGACCTGGTCATAACCCATGGACTGTCCATTAGTGTGTCCTCTGTTGTGGACCTGGCTGTGTCTGACCACTACTGTTTGTTTTTTAACATCACCACTTTTAACCAGCAGGAGGCCCCGGTGACAACGGTGAGGAAACACTACTCTGAAGTGGCTGTAAATCTTATTAAAATTTTACAAAGCACTCCTGCTGAAATTTTACCTGCACCCTGTGATTTTATCGTCGATAATTTTGACAGTAAACTAAGTCAACCCTGGACTCAGTAGCTCCACTTTTAATAAAGAAAATAAACCAAAACCTACACCCCCGTGGAGAAAAAACAATTCAATCAATACATTAAAAAGAAGCTGCAGGAGTGCCGAGAGGAGATGGAGAAAATCTAAATTAACAATACATTACAATATTTTACGTCAACAACTCAAGACCTACAATAATGCAGTCAGACAGGCAAGAATTTCCCAATTCTCACAACTTATCACAGACCATAAAAACCATCCCCTGTTCTTCTTCTCCACCTTTGATATTTTAACAGGCACTAATGTTAATAAAGTTTTTAAGATGCCAGCAGACGCTCTTTGTGAGAACTTTGCAGACCACTTCAGGACCAAATCCAAGGACATCAGATCCAGCCTTTTATCCCAACAAGTTTTACCTGTGAACACACCTGAGCTGTTGTCCTTGCCTAAGGAAACACTGGAGAGTTTTGCACTGGTTGATGCAAGGACACTTGGTCAAGTTTTCACCCAAGTAAACCCAACAACCTGCCTTTTAGACCCAATTCCCACACCATGCACTTTTAAAATCTTTTAGTAGATTTTTTGAGGGACAGATTTTAAACATTATGAATTGCTCTCTTCAGATGGGTGTCTTCCCCACTACTTTTAAAATGGCAGTGGTGAGGCCCCTTCCAAAGAAGAGCAATTTAGACTTAGATGTTTTTAATAGCAACCGACCCGTATCCAACCTATCATTTTTAAATTAAATTTTAGAGCAACTGGTTTTTAACCAAGTCAACGACTTTTTAATCAGAAATGACATTTTAGAAAGACATCAGTCTGGTTTTAGGATGAACCACAGTACCAAGACAGCACTTTTAAAGATTTTAAATGACATCAGGTGGAATTTAGATAACAAAAAACTTACAGTGTTAGTTCTACTCGATCCAAGCGCAGCTTTTGATACAGTAAACCATCCCATTTTATTAAAAAAGACTCAGACACCTGGTTGGCCTCTCTGGTACTGTTTTTAACTGGTTTAGCTCCTACCTCACAGACCGATTTTTTTATGTAGGTATGGATACGTGTTCCTCAGGAACCCATAAAATTAGGTGTGGGGTTCCCCAAGGTTCAATTTTAGGTCCCATTCTTTTAGTCTTTACATGCTTCCACTTGGGGACGTCATCAGGAGACACGGCATCAGTTTCCATAGCTTCGTCGATGATACACAGCTGTACGTTGCTGTCTCCTGATGACACAGGACCAATGGATGCCCTTTTTAACTACATTTTAGACATCAAGTCATGGCATGGCAGCGAATTTCCTATAGCTCAACCAGGAAAAAACTGAGGTTTTAGTTACAGGTCCTGAAATCCAGAGAGACAAACTTCTATTAAAACAAGATTTTAAAGCAGCACATTTTGTAAAAAAAAAAACCTGGGCGTGATTTTTGACTCTGAGCTGAATTTTATTCCCCATATCAAAAATAGGTTTTTATCATCTTACGAACATATCCAGAGTCCGCCCGTTTCTCTCTCAGGCCAGCACGGAGGTGCTAATGCATGCTTTTATTTCCTGTCGTTTAGATTCCTGTAATGCCCTGTTCTCCTGTGTTCCCAAAAAGAGCATTTTTAACCTCCAATTACTGCAAAACTCAGCCGCACACGTACTGACGAGGACCAAAGGGCGGGCCCACATTACACCAGTCTTAAAGTTGCTGCATTGGCTGCCTGTCTGCTTCAGGATCAATTTTAAGGTTCTTTTACTAGTTTTTAAATGTCTTAATGGCCTTGCGACCTCCTATTTATCAGACCTGCTTTTACCATATCGACCTTCGCAGATCTTGAGGTCCTCTGGCAGCGGCCTTTTATCCATAGCAGTAGTCAGAACCAGAACCCCCGGGGAAGCGGCATTTAGCCATTATTGCCCCCACCTGTGGAAAGCCTGCCGGAGAGCCTCAGGACTGGAGAGACTGTTGATGTTTTTAAAAGAAGGTTAAAGACCCACCTTCTTAATCAGGCTTTTAACTGATCTTTTATATTTCTTCTTACATTCTTATCATTATTTATTTATTATATTGTGTATTTTTTACTGTTTTAACTTTCTTTTCTTATTTGTAGTTATCAAGCCTTTTATCTTATTTCATATTTTAAAGTTTTTCCTGTTAGCTCCAGTGTTTCCTTCGGGGGGGTCCTCCACATTGGGGGCTGTATCCGGTCTGCTGCTGGGGTTGCTGTCTGCGGGTCCCTTTGGCCCGGCTGGTTGGAGGGCTCCCCACCTCGGTGTGCGGGTCCTCCTGTCTGTCGGGGTTGGGTGTGTGTGTGTGTGTGTGTGTGTGTGTGTGGGTGGGCCTGTGCAAGGGTGTGTGTGCGTGTATGTGTGGTTGTGTGTGTATATATGTATATATGGAGGGTGGGAGGGACGGGTTTTTCTTGTTTTTAATGTTTTAAATGGTTGTAAAGCACTTTGTGTTACCTTCTTTGTATGAAAAGTGCTATACAAATAAAGTTTGATTGATTGACTGATTGACAGCAACATTCAACTTGGCGTGGCTAGTAGACTTAAAACTGGATAGTTAAAATCTTTGTGGTGTAAAACATAAAAAGGAAATTTAAAAAACAGGATCTAAAAGCACAGCATAGAATACAGCTTAAAACTGGTCAAACATATCAACTTAAGGAGAACTTGTGTTTGACCCTCAAACAAACCGGCATAGCGTCAAAGCATGCGCACCACAGGTAGGATGGTTTCTGCATGTGTGGGTTTCACCGTGAACGGCAGGTAGAGAGAATGTCAAGAACACAGCAGGATAGCAGTTTGCACAGTTTCAGTCATGAATGCCATGCATACCATTTTCTAATAGCCCTATTTTACTATAAGGCATATATGACTACAAATATGAAATAAAATTATTAAATTACAGAGGTTCCCATATTTGCACATGTAAAAGAGTAACCAACATCTATATCTGCTTTAATATTCTGTCCTTAGGACATAGTACTTTGTTAAGAGAAGGAAGTCCAGAATCACTTACCTTCTCTGCCTCCATTATCTTCCTCAGTTCTTCCTGGAAGTCCATTTCTCTTTGTCGCCTTTGCTCATTTTCCTGCATCTCCTCACAGTGGCCAGTCTCTGGCTCTGCCTCACATTCACTGATTTTCAATTCCAAATCATCCTCATTGTCCATATATTCATCTGTTCCTGCTTCATCTGCACAATACAAAAGTACAAGTGCAAGGCTTTAGTAGTAGTTCAGGAAAAGAGAGGGAAAACCACACAATTAGTGTGTCATAGTATATGGTATTTCCATTGACTCGTAAATTGTGTATTATTAAAATATTAATCATCAACTTCACCATCACCCTCAGGCTTTCACTGGTAAGTTTAAAATTCTATTCTGTATTCAAAAGCTAGAATTATGTCCATCAATCATACTGTGCCAAAAGAAAAAGAACAAAAACAGGACAGCAGTGACCTCTTGTGGGAAACAGTTCCATTACCACATATGCTACAGTGCATTGAGAGACCTTCAGCATGCTCTCAGTGGATGAAGAAGGGTTGTTCACAACTGAATACTACATAGGATTTTATTAAACATCAAAACAATACTGATCTTCAGGAATCATGCTTTTTAACTGCAATAAATTATGTTTTATCACTGACGAGTCTTTCCAAAAACGTGACACATTTTCCTGGAAAAAAACATCTAAAGATAACTTAAATACTAAAAAGTATACTTCAAAGTGAATTTGAGACAAACCATGTAGGGTTGATACAGCACCAAACCTGTTCTCTACCTTCATCACTGGGAGGCACGGGTAGACTGTGAGTGAAAAATGCTTGGGTCTCTGTCAGCGCATGATGAAGTTGGTCATCATCAGACTTGTTCACCACATTGTCTGTTTTATAGATAAGCTGCATCAGGATAACAGGAAAATATTAAGTTGTGTGCCATTATATTTTGGATGTCAAGTAATAAAATACTTGAGATTAGGTTATAAAGAGACACATTTACCTGCTCATTTTGTTTCTTCATATCCTTACTGAGGTCATTATGCAAATTTATTGCACCCTCAGTGTGATGCGATACACTGAAATCTGGAAGGCAATTCAACAAAAACACAGATAATATCTACTATGGTGTGGAAGCAATCTTAGCAACTTTATTAGTGTCTTTTAGGGGTCTTCTTCTTCACATCTAAGTAAAGAATTTGATTGAGGTGAAATTTGCTGATTCTAGTTTTATTATTCCACATTACCTTCAAGTTCCTCAAGGATGAGTTTCTCACAAGCTGCTACTCTGCTTTTTGAGGTTTCAAAGTAGCTGAGTAGAGACGATGGAAAATCATCTGAGGCCTAAAGTGAGAAAGTTAGTTTCATATTAGTCTGGTGTCATCACAACATCACAAAGCTCAATATTTAGGTATAATAATTAGTATTGTATCTGTACTGAACAAAAGTCTAAATGCACCATGTCATATTTAAGTGCGAGCTGCAAGGTGGCGCAGTTGGTAGCACTGTTGCCTCGCAGCAAGAAGGTCGCCGGTGGGGGCACCAGGATCTTTCTGTGTGGAGTTTGCATGTTCTCCCTGTGCAGCGTGGGTTCTCTCCGGGTTCTCCGGCTTCCTCCCACAGTCCAAAAACATGTTGAGGTAAATTGGTGACTCTAAATTGTCCGTAGGTCTGAATGTGAGTGTGCTTGGTTGTCTGTCTCTAAGTGTAGCCCTGTGATAGACTGGCAACCTGTCCAGGGTGTCCCCTGCCTTTGCCCTAAGTCAGCTGGGATAGGCTCCAGCACCCAGTGACCCTAGTGAGGATTAAGTGGTGTATAGATAATGGATGGATGGATGGATGGATATTTAAGGGGCAGTTCATCCATTCAACTCATTCCTTCTTACATAACGGAATAAGCATTTGTTTTTCCAACACACTGCATATTTACAATAGAATGGACGTCATGAAACAAACAAGTACACACTAAATTGGAACTGAAAAAGAGGAGATGGAGAGCGACATCATAGTATAGAAATTACAAGTCGGTGTTGAGTCACACATGTCGGTGTTGAGTCACACATCTGCGATACACAGTTTAAGGTTTAAAGAGGGTGTTGATGCTGCTTGTGGAATTTTGTCCCACTCTTCCTGAAGGTCTCTGCAAAGTTGCAGAAATTTTGGGGGCAGGATCGCTATGTGGGACACGTCCTCCCACAAGTGAAATTATTTCTTGGATGAAAAATAGTGTGATTGAGGACCTTCCTTTAAAGCCACCCCTGACCATAATGTGGATTTACTCATTGGTCGAGAACCTGTCACCAGTTGAACAGCTGAAAACTTTTTGTGCATAACTGACTAAACCTTTTGTAACCAGAGCAATGGGAAAGAGTTATTCAGCTTTTCCTGTAAGTTAGGTAGGAAGACCACTTGCATGCTGTGTCGTAGCTAAATATCAAAAAGCAAGTGTCACTAGGTATTCTGGAAACAAACTGATGAAATGACTGCCTGATTATATGAAAAAGTATTAGCGTGTATGGTCAGTGTGACAAACACTGTGAAGAGACTTGCTGTGGGTGAGTTTATATTCCTCCCATGCTGTCCACAATCCATGCATTAACTATTGTCTTAGCCTGTTTAGCATTACAAAGGATACTTTATTAGTGAGGTGTGTATAATGTGTGTAATACATGGCTCTCAAATTAATTTTCTTAACAGTTCTGTGATTACACAGTAAATTTGTAAAGAAGGCATGGCAAGTATCAGTGCAGTAGTTGCTAACTTCCTGCTGTCAATAAGCCACTGAAGCCAGGTGAAATACACAACAAAGAGATCTGAATTTAAAAAAACAAAAAACAAAAACAAAAAAGAGAATATACAACACATACAACAGAAATCTGTAAAACACATGTCAAATCTCACCACATGTGATGCTAATAAAAAGCTAAGTATAGTTAATGGCTGCTGCGGCCTACAGTAGCCTGCAGTCAACCTCACCTGTCTAATTAACATCCACATTTACTTTACTCAACTTATTTCTGTTTCTGCAAGAGACTCACAGACTTACCTCGTCCTCTTGACATGAAAAACGCTGCTGCTCTTCTTTAGTTTCATCAGTATCAGAGAGGACGAGCTTACTCAGCTCCAGCATCACTAACTCGGACATATAACTAGCATCCGTCACCGCTTTGAACCAACTCGTCTACCGGTCAACAGTCAGTTACTTTCGCTATTCATCGTCACAGAGTTAATTGAAGAAGACAATATTATTAAATACACGCACTTTGCCTGAATATTATTCTGTTCCGCACGTCAAGGTTAATATAACATTTGCTAGCTTGCAGAAAAAAGTCGGACAGATCCTTGTGCGTCTGGAGGTACTTCAGTCTCTATGGAAACGATGCTGTGACCTACGGAGTCCGGAGAGGGACACACAGAGTGCAACGCCGGTCACGTGTCCTTGCAACGCTAATTTAGCAACATTTTTATTTTTTCGTTTGAATACAGCTCGCTTCATTTATCTCTAACATGATGTTATTTTAGATATTATTATTTTACATAAATTTCACATTCTCTGGTCAGTATTGTTGCATTGTTTTCTGTCTTGTTAGGTTAATTGTTTATTAACGTAAAAGGCAAAATGAAATAGAGGTATCCTAGGTATGAGGTGAGAATGCTTTATTGATTCATTAATTGGACACAATAATTTTAAAATTGTGTAAATGAAAAGACTGTGTGTCATCATTCTCCTACAAAAGTCGTAAATTTTCCACATTTGGCAAATAAGAAATCTGAGAACAGCAAAGCTGTTTGATTGCAGCAGTGGAAATAAAATGTGGTGTCACTGACTTGTGTGGGCATTTTGGTCAGCCAGCTAGAAGAGGTCAGTGAGCCTAAGACCTTGTAGGTGAATCACAGGACCAGAAGAACAAAAATCTGTTGGGCTCTGAACAATGCACACTTTTTCCATGGCATTTCTGATCACAAAGACCGGTTCCTCTCTCCCGTGGTGAGAGCTCTGCACTCGTGTTGTACTCCTTCTCTTTGAGGAGATTCCAGTGGCCCACGCAGGTTTTCCCATACACATTCCTGACGGCTCTCTAAAAGGAACCCAGTCTCCTTCCTCAAAGTTTCAAAGAAGAACAGCTTGTCCTCCATCCCAAACTGTTTGGTCAGGAGACACTCTAAAGCCTGTTCTCTGTTCTTGTGATGTTCCTGGACAAAAACAAAACAACAGAATGGCGCCAGATTAGACTCATTTTTCCTTTAATGGCCAGAACTGAATTCCACAATAACAATGAGAGGCACTGCATCTGCAACCCTTCTGTGGCACAAGGTCAACACCTTCAGAGTCTTCATAGGTTCTGCACAGACATACTTTTATAAAAGGTCATTATGGGTCAAAGCACAACTTCAGTCCTGAGGCTGATGGGCAGATACAGGACAGTTTGGTGTTGCCCTCGTTGTTGGAGTCAAACTGCCCGTCCCTTATGTTTCATTAGGTCCTCTAAGATGCATTGACCAAGTTCAATTGCTCAAAAAGGCTCCATCAGCAAGCCTTGTCTGCTCCAATTAGGCCCAGGCCCTTTGTCAGTGGGCAAGGTGTCCGTCGCTTTTGTCCAAGTGCACAGAACCCAGACAGCAGCCAGACAGGGCCAAGCTGCAGATTTATACAGCAGATTATGCCAGTCAATGGCGGCTCCGGCCCAAACGCAGCAGCAGTTTGGATAACAGCCGTGTGTTTGCACTGTCAAGGGTTTTCTGTTACTCGTCTGTAGCCATTATCTTGGCAGCCACTGGGCCTATCAAGCCTATCATTTCCATCTGGGGGCTTTGACGAAAGAAGGGATTGGAGGGAAAAATTACCAGTATCACAACTACCCTTTCACTTTCTTTTTTACTGCACATACTGAATGTAAATATAGCAATGGATACTTTATTATTGGTCCATAAAATGTAAAATTGGCTTTAATGCTGTAACACATCAATTTGTCTCTTTAATGCCTCAGTTTGAGCTCTTTGCTGAGTTTAGTCATTGTGAGTAATAACATAAACTTGTAATAAAAAACACCCTCCAGAAATGTGAGAAGAAAAAAAATCCATGTGTGAACTCAACCTGACATTTCAAACCCTCAGAGCTGGAAAATGGATGATTCTTTTCAATGCACTGATCCAGATTATAGGCTTCTGAGAGCAAAGGAACTTGTATATGGAGCTGATGGAAGTTTAAACATATCATGTGCACGTGAGGGGGAAAACTTTTAAGCAAGCTAATCCTGCACAAATGCCATTATAAGCCTAATCACTCTTGTGTTGCATTCTTGGAGTTATCTGCTGTCAGATAATTTCTCACTAGTGCAATCAATACTTGCTGTTGGTTCTTCAAAATTGTTTGAAGTACCTGTACAACTGGCTCAAGATGGTGCACAGCAGTTCACCCAGTTCATCTTCAACATCTTCCCACCTGAGATTACCTCTCCCACACTGGACTGACAACAGCAGTGAATCAGTTGGACTTGAACACAGATTTGGATTGCCTTTCAAAGTTAACACTGCGCTGCCAGTGTGACCTTAGTACATCTAAATCTGCTTCAAATGACTGTGGGATTACTGTAATCAGAAGTCCCCCTGACAAGCTGGGGGGAACCTGGGAATAGTTTACTGCAGGTTTCAGCAAGTTATACTAACATTTCTACTAGTTTCCAGCCATAATTTATATGCTTCATCCGGGTTAACTGTTTAATAAATTCTATAAATGATATTTACAACATTTGTTCACATCTTTCTTGTGTCTAAAGTGTTCATACCCCTTGGAAGTGTTCCTTTTTTTTAACTTTTCAACATTGAATCATGGTCAATGTAATTTGGCTTTTTTGACAAAAATTTACTAAAGGAGTATTTTTGCTCCCTTCAAAGTGACTCACTTAATTCAACACAGGTCGCAGGTACAGCAAGCTGGTGCTAGAAGTTAAACAATTACACACCTTAGTTTGGAAGGTTTAGTCACTGGTGAATCAGTGCTCCTGGCTACAACTACACCCTGAAGACAAAAGAACACTCCAAGCAACTCTGCGTAAAAGCTATTGAAAAGCATATGTCAGGGAATTGATACAAAAACATTTCCAAGTCACCGAATATCCCCTGGAGTGCATTTCAATTCAAAATTCAAATTTAGAATTTGACTATCCTCAAAAACATATAACTTATACTGTATATATAACGTATCTTATTTTATATTTAAATCTCTTCTATTTTATTTTTTGCTCTTCGTTTTGTTCTTTATTCTATGTTGCACTGAAGGAGCTGCTCTTAATCTCATTGTACATGTGTATAGTGACAATAAAGGCATTCTATTCTATTCTATTCTAAAACTGAGTGAAAGAACGAGAGTAGCAAGGGAGGTCCCCAAGACACCTATGACTCCTCTGAAGGAGTAACCAGCTTCAGCTGCTGAGATGGAAGAGACTGTGCATATAACATTGTGTACCAGTCAAATCTTTATGAAAAAATGGCAAAGAGAAAGCCACTGTTGAAAAAAACTAATATCCCACAGGTATGTGACAGACTTTAAACAACTGGAAGAAGGTTCTCTGTCTGATGAGGCCAAAACATAACTTCTGGGCCATCAGACTAGACCAGGGGTGGGCAATCCTGGTCCTCGAGGGTCACAATCCTGCATGTTTTAGATGTTTCTCTCTTCCAACACACCTGATTCAAATGATCAGCTCATCATCAAGCTCTGCAGAAGCCTGCTAACGATCCTGATCATTTGACTCAGGTGTGTTGGAAAGATGCAGGATTGTGGCCCTCGAGGACCAGGATTGCCCACCCCTGGACTAGACGCTATGTTTGGCAGGCATCAAACACTGGCGTCATCACACACACACACACCATCCCAACCGGTAAAGCATGGTGCTAGCAGCATCATGATGTGGGGATGCTTCTCCGCAGCAGGCCCTGAAAGGTTTTAAAGGTAGAGGGCAAAATGAAATCGGCAGAGTATCAGGAAATCCGAGAGGACAAGCTGATGCAGTCTGCAAGAGAACTGCATCTTGGGAGAGGATTTGTTTTCCAGCAAGACAATGACCTAAAGCATACAGCCAAAGCTACACAGAAATGTTTAAAGACAACAAGGTGAATATTGTGGAGTGGCATAATCAGAGCCCAGAGCGCAATTCAACTGAGAACTTGTGACTGGACTAGAAAAAGGTTGTTCAGGGCATCCTAGTAGCTCAACTGGTTGATGAATTGGAGCTATTAGTCCCCACTGCAGTGGCAAAGCATCGATTATGACCCATGGCATGATTTGTTGCATGTCAGTCCACCTCTCTTCTCCCTACCTTTCCTGTTTCTCCTTGAATGCACTTAAATAAAGGCAAAATGCAAGAAAAAAAAACTTTTAAAAAAATAAATTAAAAAAATACAAGAAAGGGTTGTTCACTGATGATCTTGTGCAACCTGATAGAGCTTAAACAAAATTGGGCGGGGGTGGGGTGGTGGTGAATACTTTTGATAGGCACTGTATATCAAACAGTCACATGCTGACAAAAGTGTTCCCCTTACAGGCTCACTATCAATGGTAGCATTGACAACCAAGGGCAAAATGAAATGTGAGATCTTTTGTCGAAGAATTGAATACTGTATACGTACTTAGCATGTCCTAAGTTAACCTCAGTATTTTGTGTTAGGTTGCAGTGTACAGGATTCATTGTGTAGCGTGAGAATGGCTCTCAGTGACCAGAGGCAAACTGTACAGAACACTCACTGTTAGCTCTATCACAATACAGTACTCAATGCAGCATTTGAATCCAAAGAAAACTTATTAGATAAAGCTCTGATCACTGTGGTACATACTTATTTCATTTCTCTATAAATGTAAAACTACAACAGTGCAGACTGTAACAGCAGAGTGCTGTAGAGTGTATGTTCACATGCAGCAACATGGTATACACTCCACAGTGTCTAAGAGAGATAAAACAAGCCATAAAGAGAACACTTGGCCCAGGTTTGATGAGCTCTGTAGATCCCATGACCAGTTCTTGGCCTCGTGTCACAGAACAGTTCCAAGGGAGAAGAGAGGGGCGGCTTTACTGCTGTTAATCCTC